AAAAAAAAAAAAAAAGTTCGAACCCGTCACCCCAGGTGTATGTGGCTGGCACCCTAACAACTAAACTATGGGCGCCAAGCCATATGTTGGACATTTTCCACATGCCTTTATATTGAGGACCTTATTCTGGACTATGCTGGCATGTGAGAACCATCCCACTGGCTTGTTTGTGGGGGTGTTGTTGAATTTTTTTGTGTTTTTTGAGACAGAGTCTCTACCTGTTGCCTGGGCCAGAGTGTAGTGGCATCTTCATAGAGCACTGCAGCCTCTAACTTTTGGGTTCAAGAGATCCTCCTGCCTCAGCCTCCCAAGTAGCTGGAACTACAGGTACCTGCCACTACACCCAACTAATTTTTTGAATATTTGTAGAGATAGGGTCTTGCTATGTTGCCCAGGCTGGTCTTGAATTCCTGGCCTCAAGTGATCGTCCTACATTGGCCTCCTACAGTGTTAGAATTATAGGCATGAGCCACTGCACCCGGCTTGATTTGGTTTTGAAGCTGTGCAGTGGTGTAGTAGTGCTCTGTGGCACTACTACCTGTTAGGCCAGTTTCCTACTGATGAGCCTTAATGTTGTTTCCAATATTTTGCCTTCATAAACAATGCTGCAATGAGTAACATTTTACCCTCGTCATTTCTTCCATGTGTGAGCATATCTGATGGATAAATTCCAAGAAGTGCAATGCTCAGGTCAAAGGGATCTGCACATGACATTTGTGTAGGTATTGCCACATTGTCCTTCCAAGAGGTGGTACAGTTTTCCCCACTCTAGCAGGGCATAAGCCAACATTTCCCCATGTACTCACCAACACTGACTGTGAGGCTGCTTTGACCTTTGCCAGTCAGATGGGTATAAAAATGGACTCTTAGAGTAGTTATCATTTGCATTTGTTTTATTGTGGAGGAGGCTGAGCACTTTCTCATGTTTAAAAGCCATCTGTGTTTCCATTACAGCCCACTCACCTCCTTTGTACAAATATTTTTTTTACTTGAAAAGACACAGATATTCATAGAAGGAAACAGAGGAAAAAAAGAAAATCAAGGACACCTTCCTCACACACCTGGAGAGGAACTGCTGGTGGCCTTCTGCTAACATCATTAAAACATTCCGTTCCCCCTCTCTGGGAAGAACAACAGAAACAAAGGTATTGTCTGGAGAGGGAAGAAAACAAGGGTAACTACACATGGGCCAGTGTCCAGCCACGTCAGCAGACCTGCAGGTGTATGTGGAGGGTGAGCCAGGTGCCAGGCAGGAGGAAGCCAAGGGACTCTCCTTTAACCCCTACCCTCCCCAAAAAGAAATATGACATTCATTCATTTGTTCATTGGGTGAGAACTTGTCTCTGTGCCAGACTGTGGGAACAGAATACAAGATTCTTGTCCCCAGCCAGGGGACAAGAGGACACTCAAGAAGGAAATTCACAAAGGAATATACATATTTGAAAACCCCTAGTCGGGGGTCCCTCAATAGAAGGAACCCACCTTGGAGGGGTAGTCCGAGGCCCAAGGAGGGACAGAGACAGGTTGGGGTGACACAGCGGGTTGGTGAAGGCACCATGTTGATGGTCTTGCTAAACTCACATCTTCCTGAGTTCTGCCCCATCTCCTGCCCTTCATGCCCTCATAGTTACTAAAGCCCACAAGCCCACTGCGGCCCGGGGTCTGCCCACTTCCTGACTTATCCACCCCTGCCAGCCAGCAAGTACTTCAAGAGTTAGCCTTGGCCTCTCTCATCTCCAAGTTTTGCCTGAATCAACCTTCCTTATGTTTGTCTTTTTTCCTTTTTGAGGTGAGCTGGGTTTTATTAGCATATATATTAGGTAAGCATTTATCCCTGTGTTTGGCATCATCTATAATCTCATGAAAATTATGTGAATTAAAGCCTATCTGCACTTTACAGGTGGAGAAATGGAGGCTCCTAGAGGCTAAGGAACTCTTTCAGGGTGACATAGCTGGTAAGTGCCAGAGCCAAGACTCAAACCCAGATTTGCTGACTCTAACTCCTCACTACCACTTGTCTGATCGCCCTGGCTCTCTCTGATGTCAATGTGCTATGTGATGCTGTAAGAGTAATTTTCCATCTCTGATCCAGTTTGACCCTCAGTCTCCTCCTTGGCAGGGGAGTCTTAATGAGAATAAGTCTCCAAAAGCTACCAAGACCACACTCCCACCCCTGGAAAGCCCAGATGAGAGAGGTCCGGCTGCTCCTTCCCCACCCCCACCCAGGGTTCTGTAGGGACCAGGGAGATTGACTAAGTGGGGGGTGCAGGGTT